TTTCAAGTTGGTCCCTTTCTGTGATGATTTTTTTTAGTTTCTCGCGGGCCACCGCACACCAACACTTGGCGATAATTCTGCCACAGATCACGATGCGGAAATCTCCCCCAATAACACTGTATTATAATATAGAGTGAGATTATTAAAATAAACTACAGCTACTTAGTAGCTCTGATTGATTCAGAAATATGAAAATAATACAATTATCCTTCAGAAAATTATACAAAAGTATATAATAATCATAAAATGGATTACCCTGAACACGTTGATCACGAGACATCCAATAAACGATACATTTAGCCTCTTCTGGGATGTCTTTAGCAGTAGTTAATACCCTCACTCGCTTCTTGTTAAATTTAAAATCTCGTATGGATGCAGCACATGATAATCTGGATTTTTTTATATTTTCAACTAAATCAGAATCATTCTGGACAGTTTCATCAAGCTTGGCTTTTTTAACTGGTCCATCCTTTTCACTCAATTTGTGCTTTTTCTCAGACATCGTAAATTTTGACAATCGGATACTGAATAAGGTAAAGCCTCTGTTAAAAAGAATAAGACCTATGATAAAGAAAAAAATATATTCAAATTATTGGGCGTAAAACATGAAAAAAAAATTATAAATAATTTTTAATTAATTTGATGCCCACACTTGTATATAGATTAAAAGAAAAAGAGAATAAAAAAATGTCCTTAAAAACTATAACGAAACTTAATGCTTCGAAAATAAACAAACAAGACACTATTTTGAGAAAAATTAAAAGATAATAATTAAATTAAATTTATTTATTTAAAATTAAAAAATATCTCCAACAAAGTAAATAAAAGTAATACTTGTCCCAAACATGAACTATTAATTATACCTTACAGTTGTTATATAACGAAAAAAGCTGCGCGGTAGCTTCACGCGGTTGGCACGGCAACGCATTACGTAACATGTTGTTATTGCCAACCATGAAAAACTTTTTAACAAAAAATAAGCATTTGATTTCACTTTTCTGCAAAAATTAAATAATGGAGTAAAATAACGAATTAAGAATAATTTGCCTTAAATAAAAAAAATTATATTTACTAAATTTGATATTTTTAAAAACCTCGATAATCGATATAAATTTTTGACAGGCTGTCTGAGGCTTACGTAATTTCCAATCCATCAGTTCTGTATGTACAGTTTTTTCAGTTTTTAATCAAAATATTTTGTATAATCTGTATAAATCTGGGACTATTCACCACTTACAGTTCAATCCATTCAGAAAAGTGCGCAGAATTGAACTACTTAATTTTATTACTTATCTCTTGTGATGTAAACAATACAAGTTTATTTCCGAAGAAAACATTCCATTTAATATTTTTCATCACTCTTCTCTAATTGTTTTTTTTTTATGCCTGTGTAGTTTATTTAAATTAATTAATTATGAT